CAAAAAGGAATCAATTATATCGTTTTTGAAAGCTACTGAAAAGATCGCACGGCACAATATAATTTAGGACGGGGCGTTATTATGCGATCAAGAGAAAGCATTTGTATTGTCTAAAAAGTTGTAGAAAATGAAGTAAATATGTAGATGATTGGAGAATACTATGATCAGTTATGCTGATTTAATAACGTAAAGGAAAAAAAGAGTATACAACATATGCAGAACAAATATTAGAAGAAATAATTGATCAAATAATCATTTTTTAGGTTATTATGATATTATAACATATTGTTAGCTAATTTATTAATAAAATATTTATCAAATATTTTTGGTGAATATAAATCATTTATATTATATTATTATTGATGATATTATTTGTTGTCAGATATCTAGTTTCATATCTTGAGATTGTATGATAGGCTTTTTAATGGTTAACGAAAATGGAATATCGTAATCACAATAACGGTATCGATGAAGTTATTAGAAAACATAATCAATGTAACCTTCTGGGGAGAAATTCATTAGGGCTGGTAAATTAGTACTACCAATTTTGGTATATTCATTCCTATTTTAGAAATCATGAATAATGAGATGAGATTTCGGAGTTAATAAGCCTATTTTAAATCGGAAATCGGAATAAACATACAGATTTGGAATATTCTATTTTAGAAATCAAAATCGTATAATGGAAAATTTAATATTTATAAATCCCTAAATTGTGAATATTCTGCTTCACACAACGACAGAAATTAAATAGTATCATTCATAATTTCATATTTTTATAAGCGTTTTATTGCAAACAATTATACATAATTAAACATATAAATTTATTCAAGTTCTTTATTTTCTCTTATAACCCTTTTTTATATAATTAATACTTTTAAAATATATATTCTATTTCAAACTTTTAATAAAAAAAAATAGAACTTTTAAATTCAATAAATTTTATTTAACTTTAAACTACTGAACAATTAATTACATAAATGGAAGAAATATATTCCAATGAAAATAAATTTCGTCAGTACCTGAAATTAGCCGAAGAGGGAAATGGCGATGCACAATTTGATCTTGGGTATTGTTATATACAAGGGATTGGAACCATGAAAGATGCAGAGAAAGCATTTCAGTGGTTTCTGAAATCAGCTGAAGGGGGAAACCTTATGGCACAATACAATGTTGGATCTTTTTATGACAATGGGATTGGAACCGTAAAAGATGAAGAGAAAGCATTCCAGTGGTACCGGAAATCAGCCGAAGGAGGAAACCATGAAGGGCAAAATAATCTTGGATGTTGTTATCAAGATGGGAGTGGGACCATAAAAGATGAAGGGAAAGCATTCCAGTGGTACCTAAAATCGGCTGAAGGGGGGTACAGTTATGGACAACATAATGTCGGGTATTGTTATCAAAATGGAATTGGAACCACAAAAGATGAAGAGAAAGCATTCCAGTGGTACCTGAAATCAGCTGAAGGGGGAAACAATTTGGGACAACACAATCTTGGATGTTGTTATCTTAATGGGATTGGAACCATAAAAGATGAAGAGAAAGCATTCCAGTGGATCCTGAAATCATCTGAAGGTGAAAACATTATGGCACAATATGATCTTGGATGTTGTTATCAAAAAGGAATTGGAACTACAAAAGATGAAGAGAAAGCATTCCAGTGGTTCTTAAAATCAGCTGAAGGAGGAAACAGTGATGGACAATACAATCTTGGAGGTTGTTATAGCAATGGGACTGGAACTATAAAAGATGAAGAGAAAGCATTCCAGTGGTACCTGAAATCATCTGAAGGGGGAAACATTATGGCACAATATGATCTTGGATATTGTTATCAAAATGGAATTGGAACCACAAAAGATGAAGAGAAAGCATTCCATTGGTACCTGAAATCAGCTGAAGGGGGAAATAATTTGGGACAATACAATCTTGGATGCTTTTATGAAAATGGGATCGGAACCATAAAAGATGAAGAGAAAGCATTCCAGTGGTACCTGAAATCAGCTGAAGGAGGAAACCATTTGGGACAATACAATCTTGGATATTGTTATGACAATGGGATTGGAACCATAAAAGATGAAGAGAAAGCATTTCAGTGGTATCAGAAATCAGCTGAAGGGGGAAACCATTTGGGACAAAATAATCTTGGATATTGTTATCACCATGGGAAGGGAATCATAAAAGATGAAGAGAAAGCATTCCAATGGTACCTGAAATCAGCTGAAGGGAAGAATCATTTGGGACAATACAATCTTGGATGTTTTTATGACAATGGGATTGGGACCACAAAAGATGAAGAAAAAGCATTCCAATGGTACCTGAAATCAGCTGAAGGAGGAAACAATTTGGGACAATACAATCTTGGATGTTATTATCTCAAAGGGATTGGAACTACAAAAGATGAAGAGAAAGCATTTCAGTGGTTTCTGAAATCAGCTGAAGGAGGACATAATAATGGGCAAGTTAATCTTGGACATTGTTATCAAAATGGGGTTGGAACTACAAAAGATGAAGGAAAAGCATTCCAGTGGTACCTAAAATCAGCTGAAGGGGGAAATCATTTGGGACAATACAATCTTGGATGTATTTATGAAAAAGGGATCGGAACCATAAAAGATGAAGAGAAAGCATTCCAGTGGTACCTGAAATCAGCCGAAGGGGGAAACCATTTGGGACAATTTAATCTTGGAAATTGTTATAGCAATGGGATTGGAACTATAAAAGATGAAGAGAAAGCATTCCAATGGTTTATGAAATCTTCTGAAGGAAGAGATAGTTTGTTGTATGATAAAAAAACAGAAGATTCACTTGTGTTTTTAAATGCAGAATAAAAAATTCACGATGAAGATTTATCTTCTTATCTTACAAGCAAACCTTTACCTTCAGTTGATTTTGACACAACAAAGATAATCTGGTTGTCGGATTGTAAATTATTTGGATAGCAATATATCTATCTCTTTTTTACTAATTTTCTGCTATTCAAGTTTACTAACTAAATTTCTTTATTTCCAAGTCATAAATTTTATTCATTTTGAATTCTAGTTATTATTATTTATATAAGAATTAAACAATTGTATTTTTATGAAAATAAAAAAATATATATTGTACTATTAACATTTCTGATTTATAATATTACGTTTTTACTGCTTTGTTGTCAACTTAAAATATATTGCGCACAATGCATTCAAAAATTTTCAGATAGTTCATGGGTTTGTAAAAAAATCAAAGGTATTTTACAATTATTATCACAAATGTTTGGGTGTGTAAGTACATTGAAATGAAAAGTTGAATAAAAATTTATAAAAATCAAAGAATCTATATCACGATCATGGATATATGCATGTCTCTCGTTTGTACAAAATATAATAAAATACAATTGAACAGTTGATTTCCTAAATGTAAAAAACTTAGAATAATGTCTGATGTATTGTAACATTTAAAATTCATGTACTACGTGGAATTAAATATATCTATTAAAAATACTTTGGATTGTCTTGTTGATGATATTGATAGCGACTAATGAATTAATGATTAATAGTTGATTAATTCATCATCATTGTCGTCCTCCTCCTCATCATCATATCAATCATCGTCGTCATCGTCGTCATCATCATCATTTCAATTTATTATAACTAACCTTCCCGTGGTATTAACAAACTTCATAAGTGGCCATAAATAAATATATATATAAATAGTTATTATAACATGTTACTTACAATATCTTCATAAAGTTTAAATGAATTTCCATTTTGACCAATAATAATGATGATGATAAATCATAATAATATATAACAATAATAATTATTAATATTATTTTATAAAATATACCATTTTCGTCACATCATTAGGAGTAGATTCTGGTAACTTAATAGTGATTAAAACGCATTTCTTAATAGTTCAATAAATTATTATAAATTTAATATCATTAATAACCTTATTAACATCATCGAATACCATTCCGATGGAAGAACCTGGTAAAACATCACGAAATTGATTCCTTTAAAAGAATTAAAATGTCGATTATTAATATTATAAAATAAATTATCCATATTCAAATTCATAATCATTTTGGAGAAAACATATTTCCATAATTTATCTAATATTTTTTTTTTTATTATTCCAACGGAGTCATGCTTTATTAAACAATTTATTTTGCAGTTGGTAAAAATTAAGCAAATTTATAAAAACTACAAATACATTTAATACAACTGGCTATGGCTAAATTAATAACACAACCGCCCGACTCATCATTGCCCTAGTGGTACCTAAAACAACTGATGGTCATGCCCCCGCCCATCTCTTTTTGACCAATTTGAGCATTGAGCAAAAAGTTGCTGGAAAGGAATACTAACCCATCGAATAGCTATAGATTAGGGAACTTACACTAAAATTTGTACAGAAATAAAATATTTAAATAGAAAATATAATTTATCTAATATATCTTTTGGATAACTATAAAATCAAGATTGTATTAATAATTTAATTAATGATAATTTAATAATAATTAATAAATACTAATTACATACATGAATTCTTTATTCACAAGAGAAGTCAATGTAAGTAATAACTCCATATCTCGTAAAAATTCCGATCACGATTATATTATTTGATCTTCCCATTGTGATGTTTGATGTATAGATAGTTCAAAGTACTAATAAATAGTAAAGATAATAGATTAATTATATTAATTATAATTAAAATTAATCATTAATTCGAATTAAATTATTACCAATTACAATGAATTTTTTTTTATTCTTTCATAATATCAACTGATCCGATTTCAATTTTATGCAACCCATCACTTCATCACCATCACAAAATAAAGTCATGCTTCATACGCCATTCCTTATATTTACGATTTTTAACACTACGAATTAATTTTGAAGGATAGCATTGACCCACATAACTATGCTAAATAATACATGAAATATTATTATTATGAATACAAATACAAATATTGATAATTTTATTATTATTATTGTTGTTAATGTTGTTTTCTCTTACGTTCCAGCTGACAAATGTGAGTTTTTTTTTACCTTACTACCATCATTCTCATTCAATTAAATGCTGTATTTGGGAACTTAAAAAAAATTAAAAAATTAAAAGATTAAATTAATTAAAAAAGATACGATAAGAAAGTTTGAACGAAAAATTCTTTAATCCCGCACCTTTAATAATCTGCGGTAACATGAAGCCAGAATATTCTACATCAAAGGCCATAATTCTTTTCAAAGAATCGTTGTCTAAAATTATACTGTAAATATCGTTTATTAAAATATATGTAAAAAAATTTATTACCCGAATAGAAATTGCCAACAAAATGACTCACCGCTAGGAATATTACAATTCATGTCTAAATATATAAATATATATAAATAATAATAATAATAAATAAAAATATATGTAAAATATAGCACATAATAAATATTAGAATACATTATATATATTTTATACTCACTCCACCAATTGGTAAGAATTGACCATTAACAGCTTTTTCTTGAATTTGTTTAAATAA